ATTTTCCATTTATAATAGGAGATAAAGTTCCTGAAGATGACATGCATTATAAATGCTTTTTAATGCTCTTAAAAATACTGAATATTGTAATGTCACCTTATATTATCCACGAAGTTCCACCTTATTTAAGGGTTCTCATCGAAGAACACCACTCACTCTTTGTTGAGCTATATCCCAATGAGAGCTTCATTCCTAAGCTGCACTACTTAATACACTACCCTAAACAGATTGAGGAACAAGGGCCTATGGTTAGAGCATGGACAATGAGATACGAAGGAAAACTGAAGTACTTTAAGGGTATATCACGATCTGGTAACTTCAAGAATATAACATATACCCTTGCCAAGAGACATCAAAAGTGGCTTGCCTATCATTTACAGACCAGATCCATGTTCACACCAGAATGTACACGAGGACCAATTCTCTCGACTGTCTCCTTATCTGAAGAAAGTGATGATATACAATCTTTAATCAAACAAAATATGGACATACCTGACAGTGACATAAGTAGTTGCACGGTTGTAACTTTAAAATGGATCATGATAAATGGTGTCAAGTACTCAAATCAAAATTGTCACCTTGTTACCAATGTATCAAATGGAGAACCTGAGTTTTCTAAGGTGGAAAAAGTTATATCCATCAGCCTCAAGGGTAGAATCTACCTTGTGGTGTCCAAATGCACAATAGCCTCATACAGTGAACATTTAATGGCCTATGCCTTCAAACCTACAGAGACACTTGATATCGTTTGTTCCTCGAATTTAGCTCACCCATCTCCTCTTCACCAGCGAAAGCCATTCTTTAGTAATGACAGTCAACTGTACCTGTCTCCACCATTTTTTATTATTTAGTAACTGTAAAAATAGTTATAATAACTAACATTATTGTTAATATTAAAAGTTTGTGTTGTTAGATTAACTAAGTTAAGACAAATTAACCAAAATTAGCTATTTTAAACTGTCATTCTGGTTAATATAACAGTGGAGAAATGAAATAACAGCATGCAAGTTAAAAGAACTAAATTACGGTTATTTTGACTACATATAAACTTGGTTAATTTTTAAAAAGTAAGGTTACTTTAACTTTTTTTTTTACAGTGCACACTGTGGTTTTGTGATAATCCACTGTGGCTTTAGTTGGGCATGTACTATGGCTTTTATCATAACTAATAATTCTTTGATCTTTGCTACAAGTATACATTAAGCTTACATTAGCTTGTGCTTTGAAGTTGACTAGCTGGCATAATGGACCAAGGACTATAAAGAGAGAGAGAAAGAGAGAGAGAGAGAGAGAGAGATGGAGGGACAATAATTATTGATTTCAACATATTAATAAAACGTATATAATTGATTTTTGTCTATTGTCACGTACATGCATGATAAAAGATAGACTACACCCATTCCATCCTAGCAGCTGTAATGACTTACTGGTACAAAAACCAGCATCACCTGGAACAATTAACACACAAACAAGTATCATCAATAAAATAATATAATATAATTATTATTATTTATATTATATGCCTATTATACTGTATTAAAATAATAATATACACACATTAACTGACTGACTGTGTTTATTAATAGGAGAAGAGACTAGAGAGGTGAAGTGGACCAGTTTTGATGTATCCCTCACTAAACCATCAGCAAGTCAATGTCAGGAAGTGATCAGTCAATTAACAGACAGTCATCCATACATTCACCTCCATCACTCATCACCTGATATTGTATACCTACTGATGTCACTAGCACTAGAGATAAGAACAATAAAGTGTTTTGCTATACATAACACTAAAATAACAAAAGATGTCATCCTCTTACTAACACACAAAATAACAAACAATACTTCATTAGGGATACTATCGATCAGTAATGATTCCATCAATGATGATGCAGTCATTGCACTAACACAATCATTAATTAATAATAAAACAATTGCTGGCTTATTTCTTAGTTACAATGCTGACATCACTTCAACCGGTGCTCAGTCACTAGCTGAACTTTTACTCTACAACCACACACTATCTGCCCTTCATCTCAACCATACTAACATTGATAGTGATGGAGTACTGGTACTGATGGAATCTCTCAGGACCAATAATACACTAAGAGAACTATATCTAGACAATAAACATAAACAAACTTGTTATTCTTTACCTTATTATAAAATTATTGAAAGCAGATTACACTTTGAGTAATTATTTCATATACATATTAGTTTAATAATAAAAAAATTGTTTTATTTAATGGAGGAAAAAATTTATGCTGTCACATTGACCACGCCTCTCATGCCAAAAACATATTATGAACATTATTCACATGAGGAAAAGAGAGAGAGAGAGAGACTGAGAGAAAGAGTGCAGTACAGCAAATGTAATAAAAACTTGAAGTGAAGTCATGAATTTTAATAAACCCATTGCTCAAAAATTTGATTGAACTAAATTGTAGGCAAAACTGATCAAAAAAAAAGATTTTGACAAAATTGTTAAATTTTTGGTGATTGGCAGGTTTTAATTACAATGTAATTTTAATTACAAAACTGTCACCTCAAAATTAATCATGTTCATCAAAATTCATCATGTGCATAAATCAAATTAATGTCAGGATTTATTCTGTCAAAAATTTTTCTCTAAAACTACTACATACAGATAGCTACATGGTACATGGTACATGTATATGTATATATTCCTGCTATGAAAAATAATCATTGACTGACCTCTTGGAATGACTTCTTCTCGTATCTCTCTTCTCCATATCCTGATCTCTTGAGTCCCTCCTCTGATGAGAGATGAAAGTAGAGTATAACATCAGGACAGGGCAGACCTCTATCAGGACCTTTACACCAATCAAGTGATGCACCTATCAAGACAATAATTTTGGACTTATTATTTTTGACTTTGTCTATCCCATAATAATACCAACAACCAAGAGTGCATGTATAAATGTACATACATGCAATACCTAAAGTGTACTTTAATGGAGCATAATAGAGTAAATGGCTCCAAATTTTTATTAAATTTTCTGATAAATATTGATGTCCTTATGCTATGTAGCAAGTTTGAGCAGATTCTGACTTTAATTTCTTGAGTTATGGTCATTTTAAGAAAGTGCTAAAATTCTAAAAAGTACCCAAGACTATATAGCCCATGGTTTTGTCCAAAAAGTTGCCCCAAAATCACCCCCCCCCAATTTTTGTTACAATTTCTGACTTTTATTATATAAATATTAGCTGATTCCAACAAATGGCCATTTTAAGAAATCAGCCTATTTCAAAAAATATATGCATATTACCATATATGGCATATATTTCGCAGGTATAAAATTTCGCGATTTGACTGCATTTTTCTATTTGCGAATAAAAAATTTCGCGATTTAATGTAATTACCACACCTACTATAAAATCAGCATGCTATTTTGCAAATTTTAATTTCGCGAATTTTTTTCCAAAACGCGAAAATTAATCCCTGCAAAATATATGCCGTATACAGTAGATGCTTTTTTTCCAAAAATTTGCTCTAAATTTGCTCCATTTTTATACACATCAGAAAATTTTGAAGGGGTAAGGAGTTAAATTTTGGCAAATTGCAAAATTTTGGTGATCAGCAAAATTTAACTTTGCCACGTGCCTCAAAATAATGGCTCAAAGTGACAGATTGTTATTTTGAAAATTGGCTATGAAAATACTGTTTACCTCTCTTTAATATTTCCTGCTGTTTGGTACTTTCAATGCATGCAGAGGCGTATTTAGGGGGGGGGCTGAGGGGGCTTGAGCACCCCCCTCAGGGCTGGGCTCAGAAAAAATTACTGAAGTCCTGGACTCTTGCATCACTACCAAGCCTCTTAACAAAGTTATCTAGCCCCCTGATCATGATTTCAGCAGTTTCCAGTGCTTTAAGAAGCAATCAGAAGTACCAGTAACATAGCAGTATGCTTGAAATGATCTTGGCCCCACCCGTAATTGACGAAAATGCAGGAAAAGGCCGTTTTACCGCCTTAAAGGGGTGTGGCCAAAATCGTGGTGTGCTTCGCGCACCCTCAGCACTCCTCTTCTCCAATTCCTAGATACGCCCCTGGCATGTACATGTACATTACCTTTTTAGCAGCTGTAAAAATGGCACTTGAATGTGCATATCTGTCAATAACTAGTGTTGTACCTGACTTCAAATCTTGATGCATACCAGCTATAATGAGAGAGAGAGAGAGAGAGAAATCCAATTATCCAACAACTATTGTTCCAAATTAAAATAACATTAATTTTGATGCTAAAATTAATACTCTAACAAACAAATTAAAAATGGTTAAACTTGATTCTTTTGTTACTAAAATTAACATCCTAAACCATACGATCTAATTTTAGAAACAAATCCATTTTAACTTGTGCTAATTTTAGTAACAAAAATCTAAAATTAGAATTCTTACTCCAGTTCCCATCAATTGGCCGAAAACAATAAATGAATGACATGATTGTCCATGTTTAAATTATTCTTCAAGTAATTATCGATCTGACTCCCAGTAACTGGTGCACTCCTATCTAAAAACTTAAAGGAGGGGGACACAGCTGTAGTGTTTTGTTTTATATTGAAGTTGCCTTGCTCTATTTGTAGCTAATAGTTGATACTACATATACACAATCGATAAACTCATATATGATTATTAAATTCTCTCTTTTTTAGTTTCTGTTGTCAGTAGGGCAGAATGAGAACTGTGACATTACAGTAGCAGGTTACTGGTATGCAGGGTTGTTGTAATTCTAATTTTAATCATTAGGAATTAGCAATTATTAGCTAATTCTAATTGTAATTCTAATTAAAAGTATTATGCTATCTAATGGTAATTCTAATTGTAATCAATGAAACAACAAGTAATTTAATTAGATAATCATTGTATAGTTACTGTACATGTACCAGGAGCCCTTGAAAAAAGTAACTTAAAGAGTAAACAGTGAAACATCAGGCATAGTCACAGTCTCCTCTCACTTTCTGCATTCATGCATGTGATGGAACATAATGACTGTTATCGTCTTACTTAAAAAAACTTTGAAAACCTTCATTAACTAAATGTTATCTAATTAAATTACTAATTTGATTACAAATCATTCAAACTAATTCTAATTCTAATGATTGATTTAGTCAATTGTTAAAGCTAATTCTAATTCTAATCACTACATTGCCAATCATCAAATAATTGTAATCATAATGATTAATGACTCTAAATAATTACAACAACCCTGCTGGTATGTGGTGTTTG